TATATTAGAAGCATTATTCCGATTTCTCTTGGTCAAATAGGACTAAAAAGAGCTTCGACTTATGCCTGATGTATGAATTAATAACTGCATGTATTTAACGAGGCTTATGCACGTGTTGGATGACTGACACTCAATACAACCTTTTGTCACTTTTTCACCCGGTATAATTACCCCAACATACAATTTTTTTGAAGCCCCTCATATACAATTTTAAAACCGAATACCCACTCTTTTTCGTGGAACACTGATTTAAAGCTGTTGATTCAGGTACAATTGCGTTTCTTAGAAGTATTTCACTTGAAGCAATTGGGCTAGGAGTTCATCTGGCGGCAGGAGCTCATGATGTCCTCCTCCAGGCTGAGTATATTCTCACAAGTATTCCACCTTCTGTACCATGGCCTGTTGAAAACAGGATAATGTCCAATGTGAGATCAAATCAGCCCAATGATGCTCGACAGGGAATTCAGCAGGTTAATAATGCATCTCTTTAGACTCAGTTTTACATAATGTCGCTTTTCACTCTGTAAAGTTTTTAATTTCCAATTATTCAAATATTTAGGAAAATAATAGCAATTTCATCATTCAACTATTAGAAAAATTCAATTTGGTCATCCAACTAATTTAAAAGCAATTTCATTTGGAATATAAATCGTCATCATTAATTTTTTTTGCTTCGCTACTCACCTTATTTCATGGGATATTCTCACTAGTCAGAAGTGAAATGATACCCACAATCAATTTGGAATATAAATCGTCATCATTAATTTTTTTTGCTTCTCTACTCACCTTATTTCATGAGATATTCTCACTAGTCAGAAGTGAAATGATACCCACAATCTGATGCTAGAGGAACTGAATTGACTGAATATTGCATCGGCGTGGAAAGTTATTTTTTCTCTTTACCTATTATATTGCCATCTGGGATAATGGTGGTTGACTTTCATTGTTGGTTGGTGTTGGGAAATAGTTTTTAGAGGAAAAAAGATTAGAAATACAAAACATAACATTTTCCTGTATTTCCTTGTTGGACGTGAACAAACATTTCTAATTGCATCCTTCAAATGCTTGTAAATATACAGGCTTTCGAAAGCATAGGCGATGGACTTAGCAAATCAGCCTCTGCTTTAGTACAAACTCCCTTGAAAAAATATCAGCGTGGTGCTGGTGTAGGATCTGCTTTGGTAACTGCCATCCAGGGTGCTCCTGCAGCAGCTATAGCTCCTGCCTCTGCTGCAGTATGTGCAGCTCATTGTGCTTTTCTTGGCTTCAGGAACAGGTTCTCTCTCTTCCTCTCTCTGTGGTATGACTCTTCACTTTCCCTCGTTTAGAACAAAATGGTGGTAATTCTTTGTATGTGCAGCCTTGACCCTGAGCGTAAGAGAGAGTCTTTGGAGAAACACTTGGGGAGAAGCCAGTCCCTAAAGAATTCAAACAATAGATGGGAACCAAGTCAGTAAATTTACTCTCACATATGATCACATGTTATGGTTGATAGCTATTTATTTATGCTATTATTTTCTTTTGACTGCTTGTAAGTAACATATTAATGGAAAACCAAGCATTCAGTCTTATCAGAGCAAATCTAAAGTCCCATAGCGGCAGAGGAGAACAAATAATTTTGAACCCCTCTTGCTTGGTTGTTATGGTGACTATTCTTTGTATCATGACCTGCATTTCATTCAGGTAGCTGATACTTTATAATATGCACAATCGTACTCTTATTTTTGCTGTTCAGTGAAATCTAACTTGACATATACATAACAAATATTACATAATAAGATGAGTCAAAGTAAAGAATGCAGCAGGAAGATAAATGAGCGTCTAAGTCTGATCAAGTGAATAGAAAATTCATCAAACCATCTCTCTTTTGCCCATATTTTAGATTCAGTAACTCATCGTTGAAATTCACTGGAAATCATTTTTAAAACCAAGCATTGCATTTCTTTCGAGCTAATTTATTTATATATTTTTCTGTGTTTGCAGGTGTAGATAATGTACATATAGGAAGCCCTTTACCGAATTTTTTTTCGTCATCAGAAGAAAAATCTGAAAGTGATGTAATTACGCAGTTGGGAATTTAGGTTTTAGCACACGAAATTCAACCTTGTAAATATTGTTGTTTTATTGACATTTTTAGCCATCTTCTGTTGTAATATGTTATGTGTGCGCCATAGTTTTGATCCCCTGTAACATTTTTTATGCTATATAAGTTTGTTTGAAACGATTCACCATTGTATAATCTTACAATCAAGGATCACGTTCTTTACTGATGATTTTGTATAATATATTTCAATTTTAGTGCTAATTTTTGTATGAACCTTTGTTCAGCGTGTTTTTAATCGACACTGTTGCCGGGGTATATGTATATCTGAGCCTATTACCAATTAAATCGACACGGTTTTGAATAGAGAACTTTTGGAGAATGTGTGGTTAAAATATGGAAAAAATTTAGGTTACGTTTAGAATATTTTATTCAATGAATGTGGTTGAAAATGAGTACGTAGAAAAAAAGAGTTTTAATTTAAAGGTTATCAAACATGGGCTAAGATTTTTGTAATTTGTTTCACAACTTCCGTTTGGAACCATTCTCGGGATTTGGGAATTTATGCGCTAAATTTCATGTTGGATGGTTCGAGGAGATTAAACAATCAATCATGATACATGTATCACTTTTTACACCGTGCCGCGTGACAACAAGTTATTGGACAATTTTAAAAAATAAACAATTTGTTCACCAATCAAATCATGCCAAGTTGGATACGGTTAAAAGCGGTGTACACTTTTGATGCACAAATGACTCATCTCTTAAACAATAGCTGCATGAAAGAATTGTGTTGCGGTTGGTGGCAGCAGAACTCTTATTCATTGTTTGACCCATATTAATTTTTTCATTCTCATTCTTCAACTCATTCTCAACCACACATTTTTCAATAAAATAATATTTTTCATCACATTAATAACTTTTCCTTCTTTTTCAACCACATATTCTTCATCACTTCAACAGTAAAAATGCATTTTTTTTCCAAAAATATGCACCAAACAGGGGCTAAAGGGATAATTCTTCTATAATGAATTTCTAGTTAACATTTGTCAGTGTTGATGTAGTTTAAGATCAAGGTGTTAAATGAGTCGAGCCAGCTCGTGCTCAGATTTTTGTTTTTTTGGCCAAAATCGCTGAAACATGAGCGGCTCGCAAGTCAACTCATCCGAGCATGTGAGCTGTTTACACGAATTTTTTGTTGCTCGGCTTGCGTCCCTAGCTAGCTTGGCTTGCAGGTGGGGGCAAAATGAGCCGGCGAACGGCTTGTCCACTTTCCACCCCCAAGTGAGATACGCGATCGAGAATTTCTTTAATGAACAACGATCTTGTATATAAATGAGTTGGATTCACGTAAGTTGCCATGCAAGCATGGGCGGAGCTAGGGGTGGGCTGGGGTGGGCTGTAGCCCACCTTTGCCCAAGCCCAGGTCCTATATAAAAAAAAAAAAATTGTTTAACTTTCCCATTGTTTGCCACTTCAAGCCCTTAGCCCACTGTCTAGTCCATTTGAAAAATGAAAACCCAAGCCCCATTTGTAATTTGCAAAATGAAATCCCAATTACCCAATTTACGTCCCAAAATCCCAAACTCAAACCCTTTCAAAATCATTTGCGTTGCATTGATGCTCTCTCTGCCTCCGCCCCTGCCGGTTTCTTTTAGACATTTCTCGCCTTCTCTGAGGTTTTGGAGTTCGCGGAGGTAATGCCCAAAAATCCCCATTAATTTTTAAGTTACTTTTTATTGCATGCGTGTATTATCTATTTCAAAGGTTCTCACTTATTTCTGTAATGCAACAAGTTGTTAATTTAGATTCTAATAAAAAAAAAGCCGAAAATAAAGAACACAACTTTGAATTGTTTATCACATTTGGAGTATTTGACCGATTCAATATCTGCCTCTATTTTTTAATGTCGAGATACATAACTCATTTTTTATGATACTCCTTACCATTATTGATCGCTTTCTCAATGGGAATTGGTGTGCTCAGTGCTCAGGTTCTGGGAACGTGCAAATGAATTTTTTTTTATCATGGAGTTTATGCATTTTTTTTTTATCATGGCTGACTGCATTTTTCTTATCATGGAATAAATTCAACTGATAAAATTGAATGTGTAAAAACTGAATTGGAAAAGAAGCTACAATGTTTTATTGATGTGAAATTTGAAAACAACTAGTTAACATTAATTCTGTCAAACTTTAAGTTCAATATGCATGCCTTTTGGTTTTGTATTTTTGATAGCTATGCAAGCTCATTCTTTTTTTATGTGTTTATGAGTTTATCTTACTCTCGAGGACTGAACTTTGTTCAATGTTCTATTGTTCGTTTGTTCTGCATTGGCTAAATTTGAGTTTGCATGCTTTTTGGCATAGAAACTTGGGTTTTATTAACTCTTGATTTGGTGGTCGAGGACTGATCTTCTTGCTTGCTTTCTTGTTGAAATCATGCTAAATAAGGCAGACTTGCTAGTTGCTAAGTTGCTTTAGGATTTACGAATTTATTTAGGAAATGTTAGTTTGGAAATTGTTAAACTAAGCATTGAACGAGAATTTAGTATTAATTTAGATCTAGATTCTATTATAGATGAATTTTATGCTTTAAAACATCGTCGGGTACAATTGTAATAATTAACGTTATATTACAATTTTTCTAGTTATATATAAAGTTTATTCGTATATTACATTTTAAAAATTTTAGTCCCCCATACGATCGATTCCTGGCTCTGCCCCTGCATGCAAGTGTAAGTGTACATGATTGAAGACGTGCTTCATAAAATTTGGAGATCTATCTTAAAATATTGAGAACAGTTTATTACTACTTAATGTAATTACATCTCCATATTGTCTCACTAATTATACATAAGGAGTTAGTTCTGAAACTCCGATCACAGCAAAAACACCACACACGAGTGAAGAACTAATATTACAAAGTTAGAGATTCTAAGACTCCAAATTAGCATGCCTTATTGAATATTCAGAGTACGGTTCATCATGGCCATGAACTCATCTGAATCAATGACACCGTCTCCATTAGTATCCACAGCTCTCACCATCCTACTGCAGTCTCTTAGGCTACACCTTTCCCCAAGCTTACGCAGTAACTCATAAACTTCTTCGACAGTTATTTTCCCGTCCCCATCCTTGTCAAATGTGCGGAATGCGCTCTGCAAATCCACTGTCTTCACTCCACCTCCCTTCTTCTGCACTTCCATGAACTCGTTGAAATCAATGAATCCATCGCCATCCAAATCTGCAACCTCGAATATCTTCTGCACTTCTTTGGTAAGGAGCTTTCCGTTCCCAATGGCTTTCAGTATCGCCTTATATTCCTCCTGCGAAATCTTGCCATCTTTGTTGGTATCAAATCTGTCGAATACTTGCTTCATCTCTTCTAAAGTTGGCGTGTAAATGGGCGATAAACCCGAGTTTTGTCTGTCTCTAGAGAACATTCTTGAGGGTTTCTGCAAGAATTTCTTCTTTGAGAGGTTGTGTTGCATATCAAGAAAACTCAATTTCGACATCTTTTTTTGCTATCTCTAGGGCAAAGGCTTCTTCAGACGGGCTGGTTTCAAACAATTCCCAACTGAAAATTTATACAAGCATAATGAGAATCTTGTCAAAATTAGAAAGTAGGAGGATTACCTAGAATATTTTTATTTTATTCCCAAAAATCTTTTGTCAATGAGCAAGGAATAAAGCATAAAGTGCAAAAATTGGTTTGAGAATTGAAAAGATAAGAATATATTCTTACGTATGCACAAGTTACATTATTGTATTTACTTGATTCTGTGGACTGTTATTGAACATGGTTCTTTCTTAATCCTAGGCAACAATATAGTAACATAATATTCTTTCTGAAATAATAAGGTATAGGATATTGGGATGCATGCAAACAAGACTCTTTTGGTATCTTTTGCCACGATTTTAATCTGTGGGGAAATATTACAGAGTGGAGTATGACAAAGTACATCTTGTAGACGAATATAAATCAAGATAGCATAAAGGTCGACGAACAAACTTGAAAAGGCAATTTAAGAAATAAAGAAGGGGTAATGTACGTAGAATAAATTCTTATTCTTTTCTTTATGAAAAGGTCTCAATGCATTTGCCCGATTCGTGTGCAGGATAAGGACTTCTGTGAAACAAATTGAAATTCATACGATAATAAAGGATGAAACCAACACCTTTTTTGGACTGATTTTTATTTCTAGGTTAACAATAGTCGTTCGTCAATAATATAATTTTTTAAATGAGGAAGTTCAACTTGTCTTCAACACTCGTTTGAACAATTTACGATCACAAGGAAGTTTTGCACATTTGAGCTTTGTACAATATCTTGAAACTTTTTTTTTTTTTTTAACCTTTTCATCGAACATTAGCCTCAAATAATAAGATGCTAGCAAATAGCGCCCTTTCAACGCATTTGGAGGAAAAATATGTAGAACAAAATACTCATCTACATATGTCGAATTGAAACATGTTGAAAATTGAAATAACAAAACCCTTTTGAGATAAGTAACCCAAAATTTTTTTTTTTTTGCACTAATTTAGGGCTTAGGCACACATTAACTAGGTCTAAAAATTGGCTCCAAAAAATAAAATTGAATATAATTAAAAAACTAAAATAAAACAAAAGGCGCGCCTTTTGGCTCCTAAGTTCACCCAAACCCGTATTAGGGGTCAAAGGAGGAATTGACTGTCCTTTTTTCTTTTACGCATTTCTCATATGCGAAACATCATTTTAAAGACTTTTAAAATACCTAGGCAACATCTTTCAAAATACCGTAAAAAAGAGCTTGAAATCAAAATTCACGAGTCCAATCATAGCTAGTAGAGGAATTCAAATTTCTAAATATTAGAACTCTTGGCACCCTAGTCGTGATTAAAAGCACATTTAAACATGCTAACAAAGTCACTAAACCCGACTCATAAACAAAAAGTTCAGATCAAAAGGTCCAAAACAAATTCCAATATCATTTTAATTGATCAAATTTCACTTTTAACTATATATTTCATGGAACCTGCAAATTTTATCAAAAACTTTGTCAAACAACCTCTTATCCTCCTTCTGACAAAAAAATTATAAATAATTTACAAATTCAATCAAAATTCAATATTAATTTGGGTAATTCTATTGACACCACAATTTTTAATTGATACACTACATTTTAATTATAGTTAAGCTCCTTAATCTTTCCTCATTGTAACAATTAGTTTCTTTACTTTTTTTGTCAAATTCTTATCTTCAACCTTCCATTCATTCGTACTTCTCGCCCTTGATGATTATTTATATGCAAATATTTTATTTTCATGCTTTGAAATGAGGCGGAAATATTTTTTTGCACTTTTCATTTATTTACTTTTTAAAAATATGATGAAAAATAAATTATTTTACGCTATTTCAACGGACTTTTAGATATAAAACAGTTATCAAATACAAAATGTGTTAGCTAATGAAATATTTGATGATATAAATAACATGAAAAACCGTTAGGAACATAAGTACTATAATGAGCAAAAATTAGAACCTAAATGGCAATTAAAATGTGGTGTAAGAAATAAAAATTGTGGTGTGAATATAATTATCCTATTGATTTCAAATGTATGTTCATAATTATTATTCATTATTATACACATATTTTTTAAATTCACTACTATTTCTTCTTACTATTCTTATTTGATGCCTACTATACAGCTGGGGCCATGTGGCCTAGGCAAAATAGATAAACCTTTCTTATTTAGAATTAATTTACTTTGTCAGAAGAAATTGTCTAGAAGCAGTGTCAGAAGATGAGTTGGAGGGAAATGATTGAATGAAAAAATTGATCGTGTTTAAACTGTCTAATAATAAATTGTCATGTGATATTATGTAAATCATTATGTAAGTCTAAAAGCATATGTATTAAGATTGTCTTATTTATAAAAGTAGAGAAATACTACATTTACACATTTGGTAAGTGTGTACAACTAGTAAATTTGATAAAAGTATATGAAAATTCCATTGACAATGCGCCTGTAGCTCAGTGGATAGAGCGTCTGTTTCCTAAGCAGAAAGTCGTAGGTTCGACCCCTACCTGGCGCGTTTTATCATTTTCAATTTTGCAGCCCTCAACTCCAAAATGTTCCACGTGGCAACCAACGACCACAGATGTAGCAAAATTCCGGTGATACCAGATAATCCACCGAGTATAATCTCTGGCAAGAAGAAACGAGCGTAAAACCCTAGCCCCCTTTTCATCGGCCATTAAAACCCTGAAACTGTTTATATTTTGTTAATGTAAATTTCTTCATAAATTTTTGTTCTTTTCGTTCAATTTTGAGCTCTTCCAGCATCCATGAAGGCGTTCGAGGTCGGTGGCACCACTCTCTCTCTTGCTCTCTTCACTGACGTTACCAACTCTAAGTACGCCCGCCCTCTCTCTAAATTTCTATACAGATTATAATACATACGAGACTTTCGTTGTTTTCTTAATAATTACTGCGTGAAATTGGGGTTTCTTAAGAGATGTGTTGAAATTTTAGTTTTTTTTTTTTTTCAGTATCTTTTTATGCGCTGTTTAATTCTCAGCGCGAGGGCAGGGGGAAAAGGTTTGCGCTGTTGAAAATGATCTACATGTTTGGTTCTAGAAATTCTGTAAAAATCATCTTCATGAATTTATACCTTTGGTTTGAGGAGATATTAAACTTTTTGGATTTAAAGCCACAGGCGCATCCTTTCCGGCTTTCTGTTATTACCTATGTAGTTTCTGTTTTTTGGTTAAGTTCTAAGAATATAAGGTGTTTCAGTTGAAGCGAGGAATTAATATTCAACAAAGCGATCTGCAGTTTCCTTTGTGAATATTAAAATATCACTCTGATTTTGGTTGGTTATTGAAATTCTAGATGGCTCCTAGTTGTTTCCTAATTATGATTTTTTTCAAATTTCTCGATTTTGTGTTTATAGATGAGATGCCTGGGATGTTATGATTTCTCTGTAGTAAGATTGACCACATAGTCATCTATCACATTTTTTTTTTGGCAAAAAAATGAAAATTGTGCTTTCCATTTGAATACTACTTTGGATCTCTGCATTGAATTTTGATAAAGGAGTGGATTGATCATTTTCATCAGTTTCATTAAAAAACACATGCACGAGAACTGTTTCCAACAAATCTTGTTTGTGTATTCCATTGTGCTGGTTTCGCAGAGTAGCTCGCAGCTTGCATGATGTTTGCTCAATGATATAAGAGAAAGCTGGCACTTCTTTTTGTTTCCTTATAAGCTGTTTGTGCAAAGCATTTTAGTGATGCTTGCTACTTATACAAGACACTTCCATTCCTGTTTTTCTCTAACCTTATTGTCTGCAATGTTCTTCTCCTTTTAGAGGCATTTATAAAGTCCAAGGACATATTTATTCCTGTAAAAGCAACGGCCTGTGTGAGTCTTCATAAAAGTGGCCTCCTCTTTTAACCAGAATAAATTCCCTATTTAATTTATTTAGCACTATTATTAATTTGACATGTATTCACATTATTCTCATGTTTTTTAAACATTCGGGATCTCTCCTTTAAGAATCTTCTTGGTGATTTTATTTGGGGGAGGGTGGCGAAAAGATCAGTTAATATTGACAAGTTTCGAGAAGAAACTGACCTGTGTGTTTGTCTGCATCTGTACCAAATATTGAGATTAATAGTAAATTTTGATTCTTGTGAGAGCTTTGGCAATATCCCATCACAGTGTAGCTTCCTTGAAATCTTTATCGAAATAATAAAATTTGTAGCCCTAATATTTTCTTATGCAGAGAACTGCTGGATTTGATGCAAGCGGGAACACTGGAACCTGAAATTGCATTGCTGAATGCTTTACTCGTAAGCTCTAGTCTTCTGCATAGCATATAATCCAACATATTTCTCTTCCTCTTAATTTTTTGGAGTTCAGTCTTTTTTTTTTTGGGGTCTAATATTCAATTTCCTCTCGACACAATCGAAACAGATACCTGACATTTTCCCTGTGCTTGTTGCTGCTCATAAGACACTCATATCCAAATCAAGAGAAGCACTAACAACAAGGACTCTCCATTCTGAGATTGTTTACAATTACTCAGGCTCTAAACATGTAAGAAGCATCTTTCTTAGTTCCATGGTTTTAACATTTAAACTTTTCGATGATGTTGCTGCTGTTGTACTAGATATCTGAATCTTTGAAAAGATGTGGTATATCTGACAGTACAAGTTACATCCTTGTGGCTCGTGTTGGCGCTTCTGCTGATGAGGTGAGATCAGCACTTCAATATTCTGGATTAAGTTTTAGTCTCAAATTTTAACAGTTTTAATATGCTAACAAAAATCAGAAAAATGCAAAGCAAACACAGATTTATATGGGTTTCACCCTCAATATGAGAACTACATTCCCTCACTGCGGCTAGTTTTCACTAAAATTGAGAAGTTTACAATATCGAGGGTGTTTGGTAGGGATTAAAATTAGATTTTTAGTAGATTTTGATAGAAGTTTTTGAAATGTGTGGTTGAAAAGTTGTGGGGTCCATGAAAGACGTGGTTAATATTGATTGTTTGATTTTGACTTGATTTAAAATCAGATTTTAATCCGGACCAAACAGGAGCATAGTAACCCTACTCCCTTCTTCTGTATATCAATAAAAGGACACCCTATAAGTTCCTTCACATACAGTAGGAAATTATGGCAAACCTCATGCAATATGAATGGCAATATGACCCCATAATTAAAAAATCACAGTCGAGGGTACAGGTTTACAGTATAATTAGGATCCCCCAATGTCCAACATCAAGAACTATATAGAGTTGGTGTATTTCCTCACTTACCAAAGCTTCTATTTACTTTCCTAAAAGAGTTAGGAAACTGTTGTTGTTTAACCAGGTAACAGCCATAAAGGAACTAATCAAGGGAGAAGAAATCGGCTTGGAGGAATTAGAAGGACAAGCAAACCAAGCCCAGATACAAAAGGTCGGTCCTCTCTCTGTTCCGCGCCCTTTTGCTTCTTTTCTCTAATCTATATATGTTTTTTTGTGGTGATGTTGTTTCTTTTGTATTAACCAGCACTACAAAATACCGACCGTGGAGTTGGGAATATCTTCACTTTCAGATGCTATAACATGCAGGATTGCAGCACGAGATGCCTTGTGAAGGAAAACAGTCCCTCTTTGTGTTTGTTAATTTTGGCTTTGTAAAATGAGTTTCTCCCTCTGACATTTACTTTTCTTCTAATAGAGAGATGCACAATGCTTTCTAAATGATTTTTCCAGTGTAATTTTGTCCTGGTATAGAGGTGAACATAATTGGAGTTTGAAGTTGTGCACTTGCAGAGTTTCATACTATAAAATGTTATATAATCAGGGTTTATATGCATGTTTGACTAAGTTAAAAAAATATTAACTTAGAAGTAGATAAGTTCGGATCAAATAAATTTTTTGTGGTTAAATTTGAATACAAGTAACATTAAATTTGATAGTATTTGCTTGTAATTTATAAACCAATGTGATAGGGTGACAAATGGGCTGAACGGTTTGGTTGCTCAACGTGCCTAAAAAAATTGGCAAGTCGAGTTTTGGCCCGCTAGCTTTATTTTTAATTACAAATGTGACCAATAGGTAACTTTTTCCCCTAAAAATACCACATTGAGGAAGAAGAAACGCATACAATACATTAAAATAGTAAAAAGTAAAAGGCGAACTTTGAAATAAATCTCAAAGTGTTGGGAGTACTTCGAACTCAGAAAGTCTAATTGCAAAGCAGTATGTAAGTATTGCAAAGAAATATTAGCTTGACAAGGTTATCGGATTGACCCACCTAAATAGTCATTATAAATATTGTTGGCATTCTTTTTCGTATCCATCCATTGTGTTTGACGTACTTTTAATTTAATTGTGCAAAATAAGTTAAAATTAATTGAAAGAGAGTTCAACAGAATTAAGAGCGCTATAATCTTTACTACGATATCCCTAATAAAAAATAAGCTTTTGATGAATATTGTAAAGAACATGGAATGGAAGCCAAAATATTTGTCACTCGTATAGGTCAACTTATCTTTTTATGAATGTTACGAAGGCTCAAAATATCTTATTACTATTTATTACAACAATTGACAAGTTCCCAAGTTCTCGCTCACTTTTATCATATTACAAATTTAAAGCCTTTTTTTTAGAGTTGCATTTTTTGTCATTTCGTAGTAGCGGTGTAACAATGATTAATGTGACAATGATGTTAACCTAATACTAATTAAAGCAAACACCGAGTAGACGACGAGTGAGCGAGTCAGCGCACACAACTCATCAAAGATATCCTATGAAAATCCAACCCACAATGATTTGACTCAACTATGCGGAACTTGAGTCTAAAACTCGGAGTAAATCCACTAGATAAGCAACTTCAATTTAAGCACGTGGGATTTTAAAAGACAATTTTTTTTTTTTAAATTTGTTCCAAAATCACGTTTAAATTTTTCTGTATCAAAATAAACCAAACGTCTCACAAACTTAGAGCCCGTTTGATCCACATTTTTTTGATACAAATACAATTTGAAATAGTATTTTGATGAAGAATTTGTGGTTAAAAAATAAAGAAAAATGTTGGGTTTAAGTGTAATATTATATTATTCAAAAATATGTAGTTGAAAATAATTTTTTTTTTTTAAATAATGGGAACCAAATAAAAACTTATAATCGAATTATGCTAAACAATAAGAAAAGTGCCAAGTGGGACCCCATGTTGCTCGATAAGGCCTACAGACTGGGTCCCAAAGGTCTACAACTCAGGTTGTATATATAAGCCACGTGATGAAATTAACAACATAAGAGTTCGAGATAGGGGTGTCCAAAAGTTTCGAACCGAACCCGAATCGAGCGGTTCTTCATAAATTAAATACCCGAACGAGTACCCGAATCGAGAACCGATGGGTTTGAATCGGGTCTCGAGTTTAGACCAAGAACCAAACAATCGAAGAAGAACCGAAACTAAATAATTTTTTTATTTTTTATATTAAATTAATTAAATTATTTTATTTATTTCTAAACAAATTAACAAATTAATTAAATAAATCATATTATTTCATAATTTTAATTTTAAAACTCATTTTAATTTGAAACAAATGAATATACTTTATGTAGTTTTGCTGTAATATTAATATCTACTTTTTGGTATTTGTATGCATTGAATTAATCTTATTGGACGGCTAGTTATTTATATGTTTTTGAATTGGGTTACGTTAAT